CAACTCCCGAACCGTATTTTCAGTGAAAATTAATGCCAGCTAAAGTAAATTATTTGACAGTATCTGATACAGACTTCGCGACTGTCCCATAACATAAGCCACAATAATCACAGCATAGACAATGCACATGCTTTTCTGAGCTCGGTTGTATGTTTGGCATCAATTCATTTTGTGGGGTACTCTTTAGTAAAATGATTGGAAATGAACTTTATCAATAATTAGTGTAGCATTAAAAGGTGTCATTTTAGAAATAAATACACATTTAATTGCATTGTTGATGAGATTGCTAAGATTTAAAGCATTATGCATTACTGAACATGTTACTGCACATATATGCAATGCATTATGGGAATTATTCCATTGAATATAATGGAAAACCATAATAACCCTGGAAACTCACTAAATTATATGTCAATTTGTTGAAATGTTTTCACAATACTAGGATTTATATCAATGACTTCTTCATCCCATAATAAAAAAATAAAAACTATAATATTGATTGTCTGATTAAACTGCAATAAAATAATTTGTTCCGTTGTTTGATAAAGGGTATTGTACACTTGGTACAGAAATATAAATGAAGCAGCCAGAAGAGTCTAATAATAGCCAACTATTCTCCTTCACAGTGATTAGCTGCATTCTGTGGTGCGGGTTCTGCTACAGATAGGACAGTCGGCGCTGCAGGAGACGTATGTGTAAAAGTAGATTCTGTGCATTCAACTGGAGGAGGTAGCGGTGTAGGCATACTGACTGTTACCAGTAGAACCATTTCTGCTGGCGTGTCTTGTTATTGAAGCGCTGGGGGCGCTGTCTGCATAAAGGGGGGATGGGATTAAACATTTTCATTTGTGCTTGAAAGAACTCTTTTTGGTTGTACTTGTGAAAGTTCATTCGGAGGGCGACTGCTGCTCGGTTCTCATTCCCAATCAATGACAGCGGTGTTACTGTCTCAAATTTTGGAACATACCATTGTAGACACATTGCAACGCTTTCCCTCATCACAGGGGCTGACACTGCTCGACTTCGCCGGAGATCAGTGAGCGATGTTTTCCTGTCGTACACTGAAGGAATTGCTGTGTTAGGGTTAGGTTATACTGATGCATCTTCACAATAGTACTGTTTGGTCATCCACATCTCCAGTGTTCATATTCGTGTTTACTCTGGGGGAGGGGGAGGGGGGTTAGGCTGCAAATGCCTATATGTGGTCAACGGCCTCTCATCAATGGGCGGTTTCCGGTCAACAGACACAGCGGTATTATTAAAAAATGTAGAACACTTCGCGATGTCGGCCACATCTTGTAGTCATTCCTGTGCGAGGATACCGATGGACCAGCACTCTTTATATTCTCGGCATGTGGTACTCATGCGATGAAATCCGATTGATAGGCACCTTCTGCTTAACTTCCAGTGTTTCCTTTCCCAAACCCTGCAAATAAACAAGGAAAAATAAATCCATAATTTAGGAGGGAATAATTTATATTATAATACATATGTAACCGTAACGTCGTAAGTTACAGTGTGCCGTAATTGTGCGATATTTTACGGGGTATTTTTTATCCTACCATATAAAAAAATGCGAATTCCAAATATGGAATGATTACGTGCATAAGCGTCCTCTAATAATAAAAACAAAGATATTCTCGTAGTTACCTCATAATATTATTTCATTACTTATATAAATAATCAATGAATATTTACATAGAAAAGGCAAACTTCTATTGTAAAACATGCAGCGCAAAGGAATATGAAACAGTATGAAAACAATAGTTGCGAGTACATGGTAAGTGATAACAATTTCATTTATTCATAAAACTATCTAAAAAGTCAATATGAACAGTTTTCCATTACTACTGTAGCTAAGAACTTTGTAAAGAGAATGTGTACAATATTCACAATATAATGCATGTTTTAAAGTTGTTAATGTGACATACTGGATGTAATAATATATGGTTATTACGAGAATACCTCAAATGCAGAGATAAGACTGTTTCACGTCCAGCCAAATTGAAGATATTGTATTGTTCTACGGAAGTTTACAAAAACCGTGTTGCCTTTCTACACAAGATGTGCAAGAACTTTCTGCCGTTCAAAGATTGCAACGCATTTGTTCAATCCTGTGTTGTTTTCCGACGACGAGCCGAAAATTAAGCCACGTGTTACGTGCGTCGAAAATGTAATTTTAGTGTACACTTCGTTTTGTGACTCTAGGCGACGGTAAATGTATTTTTTGCGTATCATAATTTCATGCGTCTTGACACATAATTGTATTTTATATATATTTATATGAATACAATATTTAATTTTGGTAACAACCTGTCTTTGTGTCGTTACTTGTTGCGATTCCCTTGTTTGAGTTGGGGGGCAACAGAAAGATGCACGTCTGTGCGTCATCCGAGCTCCAATTCAAACTTGGCCGTAACATTTTTTTATTTTTCATGATAATTTAATTTTTTGTTTGTTTTTTAAGCTTTTTCTTAACAGATGGTTTGATGACCAGAAATCAAATCATTGGCAGGCTTCTAAACACAGCGTTAACATGAGAAATCTTCTGTAAAGATATGCTTGGTTAAAGCTAATTTGCAGATTCTTTAGAAAACATGCAAATAAAGGAGGGGAATGTAAATAGTACATATTTTAATAAAGCAATTTATTACAATACACGATGCTTTTCTGCTTTGAGGAATTCACTTACCCTATTGTAAGACTAGGCGTATCACTATATAAATTAATCAGGCCTGCTAAACATTCATGTACCTGTGCGACCAAAAGTGGTTACTATCAGACCAGACACAAAATGGTGTGTATCAAGATTCAGTAAGAAAAAAAAACCGCCGGGCTGAGCGCAAATGAACGACTAACTCACTGTGCATCGAGACATCTAAAAAAACACAATGCAACATTGTTACTCATTGATGCCTGAAAGCTATTTTTCCAATAATCATAAAAACGTGTATGAAATGTTAAACAATATTCTTCGCAGAGCCACCGCCTTTTTGTTATTTCTGTCCAGGAAATTACAAACCTCTTTACAGACGACTTTGTGAAGAAATACTGAAATAGAAATACTGACCATTCGTATAAATATGCACAATCATCCATATGTCATTAATAAGTACAAAGAAACTGATCCCATAACTATATTCATTTATTGTAACTTGTGCTGAAAAAAATACAGAAAATAGTTGTGCACTTTCATAATTAATCAAGCAATGTCGACTCAATTCCCACAACTATATTAAAACATTGCTTAGATATTTTACCACACACCATCGTCATTATAGTAAAGTAATCGTATTATTTTTATGAGACTTGTCTGCAGCATTTGACACAGCAAACCATTGAATATTCTCGCTTTGAAAAGCGTATTGGGAAATCAGACTGCTGTTGCAGATTAAACACGTATTTCTGTTATTAATAGAAAACTGTAACAATCACAAGGATCTCATCTAACGCCCACAATCTAAAATATGGTGTGCAACAGTGCTCGGACCTATGTTTGCCATATATTCATCTCCGCATTGCAAGATCAGAGAAAACAAAGTTTCATATGTAAACTGATGACACGTAACTATATTTAACTTTCAAGACTTAACATTTGACGTATGGAAAGTTTTGTATCCCCCATTCGTAAACGGATGACCCATAATCTGTTAAACTTATATCCAAATAAGACTGAGTTATTCTTTGGATCACGACATTAAAACAATGGTAAATCGTGTTACGACGTTTGATATCTGGTAACTCTGATATCACCAATCATTCCCCATTTTTGGCATAATCAAGAGCTTTTCTCATGTTTTCAGACAAGATAATACCATATATAAATACGATTTTAATAATTATAATGTGGACGCTTTTTTGGCAGACTTGGACAAAATTTCCTGGCAAAAGGTGCATGATTGTTACGACCCAAATTTGGCATATATACAATTGTATGACATTTTTTCGAACGTTTCATCAGAACACTTCAAGTTGAAGAAAATCCCGAAGAGGAGTTCAGCTCGTAAGCCTTGGTTGACCAAAAAGCAAAATAAATCTATTGAGAAAATGAAAAGGAACCCTCCAAATTTTCAAAATTCAAATTGTAAATTGTACATAAATTTACTTGCCGAGTTGCTCAAGCCAGCCCAAAAAATGCATTACTTAAGTAAATTGTCACTTGCTCACGGCAATACCAACAAAAGTTATTATCGAAATCCTGAACATTCTAAATCCTGAACATCCTAAACAAATTTCCACCGCAATTACAATAAATCAGTAGCGCTGATATTGGTGGGAAATTTAACGAGTTATTTACCAATGCTGGCCCTAACCTCGCAGCTAATGTAATTAATGCAGGCGATTCTAGAAACTATCTTAACAATAATCAAATTAATTCTTTCTTTTTTCACCCTGTCTGCAAGGCCGAAATTTTAACCGAAATCATTTAATTTGACCCACATAAATCTGCTAGTGGCGTTGGTTAGTACAACTTCTAATTGTATATAAAATATTATGTAGCAATTTCCACTGAAAGTCTTAGTTTTATATCAAGTGAAAATGCTCTGCTTATACATGTCCTTGTCAATTATGGTAAAATACATTTCAGAGCATGGGGGTCTTAAGTACTTAATTCTCATAAGAAATGCATTTTCAACTTTTACAACAGCGATATCATTTACAGAAAAATTTTAATGCGAATGATCAAAATGTTGGGGTATTTTTTGAATACAAAGACGACTTCTAAATTTTAACCAGGAGGAGATATGCATGAAAAGTTTACATACAACTGTGCTAAAGGGTAACACCCCACAATTACAAAACATTGTGGTGATTAACTAAACTTTATACAACATTAAATGGAATCTTCTTGATATTTTCTCGAAAAAAACTCTACAGTTCACAGGAACTATAAACATATAAAATAATTACGGTGCATTTTATAAAGAAACTTATTAGTAATTTTTTTGTATGCACTGTAATATGTTGATTGAGCAAGCGATATTACACTTCAAAGCTCATCAACCATGGCTGCATAATCTGAATTCTTCCACGGCTTCATGACTTCTCTTCTCAACAATGAAAACAGCATGCACAATAAACAATTGTTTCTGCTCCCCTTCGCTTAAATGCTCATATCTGTTACGTATGACAGTCAACTGTTTTTTATCATTCATTGTTTCCCATCTATATGTATATTTCTCCCCTCTATGAACAATTAATAAATGTCTTTGACGAGATATCTGACTATAAATACACTCACAATGATGACAGTAAAACTGACTTACTGAATTAGGTATGTCAGTAACATTTGGACTATATGAAGCTGCGGGTATGTAAGTGCAATTTCCAAGTTGAGTTTGATGTCTCGTTTTTATGGTACTGTATGGAGTTCGCATATGCAGTTCGAGAGCACTAGAATAATCAACACTCTTCTCATACTGTACACAATGATCAGGTTTCTCATTGGTATGTGTTCTTATATGCCCTTTGAGATGACTTGGCCGAGTGAAAGTCTTCCAACATTGATGACAATGATAAGGCTTCTCATTGGTATGTGTTCTTATATGCCGTTTGAGAGTACTTGAATGGGAGAAACTCTTCCCACATTGCTCACAGTGGTAAGGCTTCTCATTGGTATGTGTCCGTATATGCTGTTTGAGATTACTTGAACAAGTGAAACTCTTCTCACATTGCTGACAATGATAAGGCTTCTCATTTGTATGTGTTCTTATATGCTGTTTGAGAGTACTTGAATGGGGGAAACTCTTCCCACATTGCTCACAGTGATAAGGCTTCTCATTGGTATGTGTTCTTATATGCTGTTTGAGATTACTTGACTGAGTGAAACTCATCTCACATTGCTGACAATGATAAGGCTTCTCATTTGTATGTGTTCTTATATGCCGTTTGAGATGACTTGACCGAGTGAAAGTCTTCCAACATTGCTGACAATGATAAGGCTTCTCATTGGTATGTGTTCTTATATGCCGTTTGAGATGACTTGACCGAGTGAAAGTCTTCCAACATTGATGACAATGATAAGGCTTCTCATTGGTATGTGTTCCCATATGCTGTTTGAGAATACTTGAATGGGAGAAACTCTTACCACATTGCTCACAATGATAAGGCTTCTCATTGGTATGTGTCCGTATATGCTTTTTGAGATGACTTGGCCGGGTAAATCTTTTCTCACATTGCTGACAATGATGGGGCTTCATATTGGTATGTGTTTGCATATGCTGCTTGAGAGTAATTCACTGGGTAGAACTCTTCTCACATTGTTCACACTGATGTATTTCCATATTCATAATATCCTCTTAAAATGGTTGGAGCTAGGCACTTTTCAGTATGTTCACAGCCCATGTATAGCCGATGTTCACCATTTTCAATGCTTAAGAATACTGCAACTGTAAAAAAAATATAAATACACTTTTTTAAAGCAATGTGAATGACACCATAAACTTCTTTATATTTTTGACCTCTGACTGAAAGACAGACAAACAATCATACTCCATATACTGTCTCCGCATTACTAGCCCAGAAGTGTTGTTGCTTGGCACACTACTCTATGCTCCAGCATGTTTGATATATAGGCTCGGCATTCAAAAAAGGAATGTGGCAATTTGATTGGTTTAATCGTTAATTAGTTAATAGTCAATCAAAATGCTTGCACAAAACTAAGTAAACAGAATCGTACAAATGAAGTATATTTTGAACAGTGATCATGTCAGTAATTTTATTGGAATTCAACTTGTTCCTAAGATTTCAGCTAATTCCAAAAGCCTTTCAGTTATTGCAATTAAACAATTATTGCCCAAGCAGTATGTCATTGAAAACAGTAAAATTATATTTCAGTATGCACAAATATGGATTTAGGTAATATATAACAATTCTTGTAGAATCAGAAACGTAGTAAAATAAGACGTTTTGGTGTATGACGTAGAATACAACAGAAGAGTGAAAACCTGTATCTCATGGTATTTTCCACTATGGAGATATGCGTTAACGAGAATGAATGACATCAAAAAATCAACAGCATAGCACAAATTATTAGTATAAAGGTTTCTATTCATAATCATTGTGACTCATAAAATGACCAAATCAATCTAAAAACTATACAAATTTGAGGATAATATATCTTCTATCCCTGTGCATAATAAACATTTTTCAAATGGCTATATTATTTCTTCAAGAATTGCACATATACAAAAAGCATATTATGTACTTGAGTGAACTGATAGATGGAGTGAGTCAGACATCTTGCGTAGACTTTACAAATCATAGTGATGTGCATCAATTTACAGTACAATTCACAGCAGTCGCTAGGATGTTGGGGGTTGTTAGCTTGCATTTTTACATATATATCTGGTAGCGTCGCATATGTGTGGGCTTCCAATACGAACCCAACATTCAGCACCAGCAATGATTGACATACCTCATTTATGGAACTGAACGTTGCCTGCATAAAACGTAAATTGCAATTGACCTCACTGTGATGATGCATGCATTGTGGAATGCGGAAACGGGTCCAAAAAACATGCGTATTGCGTATACAATATGCTAGTAACTTTAACAGGGTTGTGAGGAAAACGAAAATCTCATAATAATTTAAAGTGTAATTATTAATAGAAAGCATTTATTATGAATGTTGGATGATCGTCAAACAAATACCCCGGTATATCTGTATATCTATGAGATGATGTATAATGAATATTTAAAATTTGAACATAATCAGTCAAAACGTGTCAGAGATATGGCACTTGAACCACATTCATTAAAACAAAATAGCCACAAATAGGCCATTTTGAATTCCAATCTGAAAAAAAACAAAATTACGTGCATA